AACTTTGCAAGCTGGAACATGCCCTCTGCTGGCTTCAGGTCGGGAGCATTTAAGGAGAGGAAAAACTATGTTTGCTGGTATAGTAAGGGTTGGCTTTTCACTCTGTTTCCCTGACGTGTGGTAGAGCAGAACCGGGATCCGTGTTTAAAAGTTAGGATTGTGACAATTATTATTTTGGACAAGCAACATTTATTTGCGGATATAAAACACTGACATCATGATGACTTTTGTTACTGGAGCAGTTGGCAGCCGGGCACCACACTAAAAAAGTGGTCCAAGGGGGAGAACACTTCAGAAAACTCAATGAAATAGCTTAATAAAATGACTGTTTTGAAAGGTGATAGGGATCACTGAGTTTAGGGAAAAGAAACAGCAGGTTGACTTGGCAACAGTCTTCTAAAGCGTGTAGAGCTGCTGCAAGGAGGAGCCTCCATGATCACTCTTCATATTCAGGTAGGTCGAAATGAGCCAGGTTCACGTGCAACCAAAAATATGAAGCTTAGAAACCAGGCTTTAAAGATTTCAATAACAAGGATACTGTTCCCTGTAGAAAAATCACTCTAAGGAGCCTATTGAACCACCTTCACTAGAGATTAATGCAAACAGCGAGGTTCACCCATGTGAGGGATGGTGGACATATTCTTACTCTACTTCAGCCTCAAGAAGGGAAGACAGAGGAGAAGCAGCAAACAGGATTTGGAAGTCCCGTCCAGCCTGCACTCTTCTGCTCCTGCACAGACATCAAGTGAGAATTTCAACAGAATCCATAGAAATCACAAAGCCACAGACTGGTTTGGGTTGGAAGGGACCTTAAAGCTCATACAGTTCCAACCCCTGCCACGGGCAGGGACACCTTCCATTAGAGCAGCTTGCTCCAAGCCCCTGTGTCCAACCTGGCCTTGAACACTGCCAGGGATGGGGCAGCCACAGCTTCTCTGGGCACCCTGTGCCAGTGCCTCAGCACCCTCACAGGGAAGAACCTCCTAATATCCATCCTAAATCTCCCCTCTGTCACCAGTTCATGCAATTTCATTCTCAAGTTTTTTGCCATGGATGCAGTACACTGACCTGAAAATATTATTTCTCTTTAACACTCCACGACGCTCCATTGATCCTTCTTGGACAATGACAATCAGATGTCAGTGACCAAGGGAAATGAATGAAAACCGACACATTTGTTTTAAAGCCTGCAGCAGACTAAACTGTAAATAAACCCTGCTTTTTGTGCAGCACAAAGGTTGCAGACTGACTGTCCCTGCGGAGCCCCCTTCTCACTGCTTAACAGACTTTCCAACACTTTCTTTTGTCCTGATAGCAATCTCTCAGCAGGACTTTTGGCAGACACATGTATTATGTGTCAAAACCCAAGTGGAAATAACTGATGGGAAGCACAAAAATCTGATGGGAATACTTATAATAAGGGAATGAATAAACATCAAAATATTAACACATAACCATGAAGAGATGCAGCCAGAAAGCTTCTGAGCTGTTACTTGTCTAAGATGATCAGTAAGAGTCACTGCTTTGAGTTAGCATTGTTTCATATTAATATTGATAGCATTAACATATGCTATACGTAGGCTTCTACACTAATTCAATCTATTTATAGTCCTACTTATTTTAATACTGTTCAAAACTAAAGCTTTCAAGATGAGCTTTAAATGTGCTATAAAATGCACACAGCAGATTAATTTATAAATACTATTTTATGCATTTATATTGTTCTGTTTAGCAAGTGCTTGTATACTTGGTGACTTATTAACCATGTTTTCCAAAAACACTTCTATAAAATGAGCTTATTATAACCCTCCTATCTGTTATACTCATTTTGTTAGCAGCTACGGCTAACATACATGGTTAACACCATGTGTAAATGGTGTTATTTAGACAATTTGTTTTCCACAGTGCATTTTTATTTCCCCAGTGAGACTAATACCTCTCTCATAACTGAAGGCAAATCACATGGCTCCTTACCTGTTAATGCAGCCACCTTTGGTTCCTCTCCATCACGCTGGGTTATCACCAACCCTTCCTCAGTGCTCCCTCTGCAGCACCTTCCTCAGCTGACGCTCCAGCATGACCGAGGAACACAGCTCACCACCCTGGCCTCCTAAGGAAAGCCACGAAGTCAGGGCTTGGAAATGCTCCATCACTTCGACTAGCTTAGGAAAACAAATCATTTGGCAAGTGGAAACATAATCTGTCTTTCTTTATGCTCAGTAGGTGAGATCATATGCAAGAGGTTCTGAAGGTGCAGTTTTCTAAATATATTGGGTACAATATGTGGCTACGATGCTGCTGGAAACACTGATGATGTCCCTGAAATGTGGTGATGATTTCTGCCCTAAATATTATCTACACCCTTTCAAACGCAGACTCTTTCTGTAGCAGGACTGGGACAGAATGAGCAAAAAGAACCATTAAGCTTGCGGGGGATGCTGGAGATGGAAAGGTTCAGGAGGAGAGCACATAATACATGTTTGAAGGATTATATGGGACTAACAGAATGAGAGGGAATTCAGAGCAATCACCTGACAGGGACAGGAGAGAGACTTTTTAAAAGGGCCCATAGGGTCAGGCCAAGGGGAATGGCTTTAACCTGCCAGAGGGGAGACTGAGATGAGCTCTTAGGCAGAAGCTCTTCCCTGTGAGGGGGCTGAGGCGCTGGCACAGGGTGCCCAGAGAAGCTGTGGCTGCCCCGTCCCTGGCAGTGTTCAAGGGCAGGTTGGATGGGGTTTGGTCCCTTCCAACCCAAACCATTCCAGGATTCTATAATATTAACAGAGCTTCAAAAAGATTGATGGATGTAGACTCCAAAGGACCAATGAGCCAGAGACTCACCAAAATTTTGAGCAGCGGTGGCACTGGGCTTCAATAAAAATCTCATTCAGGAAGCCAGAATTAGCTGGAATCCTGCCTCATTCACTGAGAACAAATCAGTGTTTTTATCTTTGTACACATAATACAGATTTCTGTGGTGTTTGTCTGGCTCCTTATTTCAGTGAAAGGGTTATTTTCAACCAACTACAAATGGTACAGCCTAACTAAAATAAACAGCTACTCCTATCTAGTCTCCATTTGCAAAAAGCTGCAAAGTAATACAGAAGCCACACTCAGAGCTAGTACTTAGAATAATTCACAGAGACTAGAAATAACTTTATTTTCTATACTTGCAAGTCAAACAGGGCAAACTCAACATGCGGGTTCTTCTGCATTTACTGAAACGTGTTGATGCTGGAAATGAGCAAGCTACCCATTTATTTCCAGTTAAAACAAAGAATGGTATTTTTAGCCCTGGTCACAGCTCTGCATTTTCTTACCACTGTTTCATGCTCATTTATCAACAGATGATAGAACAAGGCAATCTTACTTTAGGGATTAACTCTCACAAACTAAGTACACAAAAAAAACCCTCTCTTATAAAATAGTTTTGTACTAAATTAAATATCTCTAAATTCAGTAATTCTCAATGACAATATCTTATTAAATAAATTTGTAATAGTGGTGAATTTTTAGCTCCACTGAAGTCAGTGGCAAAGTTTACAGAACTTCATCCTTGGACTCTGTTCCACTTCTAAAGCAGAGGTATCAGTCCTGAAAAAATACTGCACTGATTTCCTTCTGAAATAACACTAAAGAAGTGAGTCAGATCTCACCTTAATACATCAGATGAACTCAACTGAATTTTTACATGTATATATATGTATATACAGAGATATATACCTATTTGAGTTCAGGAAGAGTCCCAAGCCCAGCATGACGTGGTGCTGCAGTTCCAGTGGAGGTCAGAAAGCAAAAGCACCATTTCAGAATTCACAGGAAATGGTCATTTACCTTTACTGGTCACACTAACAACAACCTTATGCTGTAATCACCTTTCAATCTTATGTCACTTTTCCTTAACTGCAGTCATTAAAGGCTCCCCAAGAGAAACAGCATCAGACAGCAGTCTAACACATATCTAGAAGGCATATCAGTAGCAAACAGTGGGCACAAAAAGACGGAGCTCTTCAAGAACTCTCAGTGGTGACATTATGTCTGCTCCTGTGCTATTTAACAGAAACTTTAACTTCTCCAGGAGCACAGCGAGGCCATCATGAAATGGTAATCTCCATAACTGATAATCTTTAGGATTTTGCAAGTCTGTGCCCATTAACTGATTTTATATCATACAAAAAGGTTTTCTCACCTATTTTGGTTTTAGGCCATACGGGCATCACCGCTTTTCAACATACGGTGTAGACAGACAACATTATACTAGTTGACATTTCACTGAATGGCAAGAGTATCTTCTCCACAGAAATGAACTCTTTATACTAATGTTCATAGTAGTATTTAATGGTTCCCCCATGGCAACAGGTTTAGATAAGACATGGACAAGTTACATGGTACAGTATACAGAAACTTCTTGGTACCAGGCAAAAGATTAACACATACCAGCTACAATGCTGACAGAATGAAACAATTTTGTTGCCGGCTGGGAGCAGATCAATACACTACATCCCAATTAATAAAACACAATGACTTTCTGAAATCACTGCTGAAGCTGTACTCTGTTATCAATGCTATTAGAATGATCAAAAAGATATGGAAAATAAGTTAAATCTGCGATGCACTTGAATCCCCTGTTTCACATACAAATCAATGATTAATAATATTGGCCAAGTGTTTAAAATTAAATCAAACCCATGAATGATAGATGTAAGCTTCAGAGGGTAAAGTGGAATTTGGTTCCTTTCTGGTGTAAACCATCTACACATGTATTCTTGAACAGGAATCTTTTTTCTGGAGTTAACAGGAAACTTCAAGTTGATTCAAGGCAAATACTAGCTTCTGTTATCCATGAAGAAACACAAATGCATTGGGATTGTTACAATGTTGTTATACATTACTGAATTATACTCAAATACCTATAACTTTTATGACTTGATAGGCACGCAGACTACTAATGACAACATTCAGGTATGAGTTAATAAAGTGCTTTCACAAAGCATCACAACTTCCTGTGTTTCCAACAGAAGTATTTAATACAATGGTATTAAGACGTTAACATACAAGATGTTAACCTGTGAGCTGCTGCACCATGAACAAAACAGTAAAAAATGCAGGAATATGATATTTAAGCCTTCCCATGCAATTCAGAAGAAAAAACAATTGCAACAAACCCCAGCAGTGGTACCTCATGTCTGGCGTTTTTAGCATAGTTCTGAAATGTGCACCAAAGAGCTGCAGGATAAACCTTCCAAGCTCTATTTCACATTAGTGGAAATTTTGATACTAAAATATCCACTCTTTTTAGACAAAGGATAAGGCTTATACCAAAAACCCACTGTGCCTCTTGGCTGCGTATCTTTGGTATATTTATAGTGCAACTATTCTGTTTCATCTCTAAAGGGGAAAGTTTTCCAAAGCACTGCATCCCCTGCCACTAAGAATCCACTGTGAACTCCTACATTCACCAGGACCTCAGGCACTAACCTACTGCTTCAAACAAATGAAGAAGGTGCAGTGAAAATAATTTCTTCCTGTTTTTAAATATACTATTGAAATAAAAACCAAACCATGCCAGATTTCACGTTAGAAAGTCACAGCACGTTCCAGTTCTCTTTGCAAGAGTCTAGGAGCATACGAATGTGAGCATGAATTTCATGGCAATTTTTAATGACAGATATCCAAGGTGCTATTTGAAACCAGTTGTAATTTTAATTATTGTTAATGTAGATTTAGTCAACCTTTGTCTCTACAAAAAAAAAAAAAGACACCTGTTTTTCATTTTGCTTAGACACTCAGAATTATTCAAAATGCATAGAAAGGCAAGAGCTACTTCATTAAAATATATTGCAAGCATGTTTTTCTAACCTTATATTGCTAAAGCCTTGCTGTACTGCAAATTTTATTGGAATTGGCCTTAAAACACAGTACCATGTATTCACACAAGCCTAGATATATACCTGTAGTTCATACTGCTATTTGAGGAGGCATACCAACACACAACTATAGTACATATCACCCAGTGGCAGTGCAATAAAATGAGGCGCCGTCAAAATGCCTTTTCACCATTCCTCAACTTCTAAACAACAACATTCTTTCTGAACAGGTCTGTCCAACCAGACTTGCATATTGCTGGACACTGGCTTCATCACTTGGTCCCTTCCGTCTTTTCTTATACACACTGTAAGGCATGACGGTTCTCTTGTGGAGCACTCTCACCCTGCCCAGTTCCTTGATCCGACCTTCATCAACTGTGAAGAGAAGCAGAGAACATAAAAATTAGTTATGTAGATAGTCCCTCTGATCTTAATGCATGCAACTACAACAGGCATAATGAAAGCTGTATGAAGCAATAAAACTAATCTGCAGATGAACAGCAGATGAAAGCAGGGCTGCTCTGCAGAGCAGTCTTCTTGAATCATGGTTGGAAGCAGAACCTAGCTTGCAAAGTAACTGTATTTGTGTTGCGTGAAAAGATAAATCATGCATCACACATTTCTAATGGTGATATTTCGGAGCATGCCTCCACTGCCATATTTTAAAATTCACATTCACATTTATTCTATTTTTATTTATATATATAAAAATATTATATGTATTTATTTTATTTATATATATTTACATTTTATTTATTTAAATTTTATTAATTTTAAAATTCACATTAATGCCCCCTGGAGCCCACTGACAGAAGTGAAACTTTATCTGTGAAAATGCTTTCAAACACAACCGACCAGAAGCAACTCACCGTTGTTGCCTATTGCACTTAATGACTAAAACCTCCTCCAATATCTACCAGCACAGAGTGCTCCCTCGCCCCAGTTGTGAAAAGTGTATTAAGTCCAGCAAGGAGCCTCCATGCTGTTGTCTTTAGGTAAGCATCAGGCAATAAATTACCTTCCCATGTAAAACTCCCAGGCCTTCCTACCCCATCTTTTTTGCATCACTTATACAGGTTTCTGTCCTCCTGTAGTAGAATGAAGTTAAGCACATGCCTTTACTTCAAGTCTGACCCCCAACAGAGTTAGTGCAAGGACTAGCTGGATGAACACAACATAATTCCTCAAGCTTTCAAAAGATATACACACACCGCAGTTGAATCTCATTAACCTCATCTACAGACCCTTTGTGACTTAATTTAACCAGAATCATACACATAAGAGCATCGTTGAGCAAGTTAAAACTTCCTTGTTTTTATGAACCCAGTCGATGCTACTAACACTGAATAATAATGTTATATTGCTGCTGCGTGTCAGAAGAACTGGCTCTAAAGTGCTAGAAAACTCTTTAAGGAAAGCAAGAGAACATGCCACACACCTGAGGCCATTGCAGGGAAATTTAACACAATCATTACAGAATACTGGTAAAAAACCCTTTAGACTTTCCTGAACTTCAGGTTTAAAAAGCTGGCAATGTGAGAGTCAACTTGAATACAGTCTGAAATACAAGTTTGAGAATGGAACCATACAAATTCAAACAGTAACAGAGAAGAGATGCTTACTAGAATATCAGCATTTAGGGACATAAACGATACAAAGACCCAATCTTATTTTGGCATTGTTGTGGTTTAACCCCAATGAGCAGCTCAGCCCCATGCAGCTCCTTACTCCTTCCCTCCTGGAGGAATGAGAGACAGAACTGGAAGGGTGAAAGCAAGAAAACTCGTGGGTTGAGATAAAGACAGTTTAATAGGTAGAGCAAAAGCTGTGCACACAAGCAAAACAAGAAATCCATTCATCATTTCCCATTCAATCTCCTTCAGCAATAACCAGAACAGCAGGGCTCCATCTTGCCTACAAACACCATCACTCCCAACGTCCTCCCTTTCCTCCTTCTTCTCCCAGCTTTATATACTGAGCATGACTCCGTATTATCTGCAATATTCCTTTGGTCAGTTGGGGTCAGCTGTCCTGGCTATGTCCCCCCAACTTCTTGTGCCTCCTCACTGGTGGGGTGGGTTGAGGAGCAAAGTCCTTGACTCTGCATAAGCACTGCTCAGTGATAACAAAACATCCCTGTGTGATCAACACTGCTTCCAACCCAAATGCAACCATAGCCTCCTACTAGCTACTGTGAAGTAAATTAACTCTACCCCAGCCCAAACCAGCACAGCCATAAGGACATTCTTCCGACTGAAGAGCCAGTACAGGTAAGTATAAGTGTTTAGCTTTAAGTACTGCATCAGTTTCCCTCAAATTAAAATACTGGTTATGTTCATATACTTTCTGCTTTTAGGTTAGAACATTTAAGGATCCTTGAACAGGATCTCAGTAGCCACTCTACGCTGTTCCTTGCTTACAACACAGACACTGAAGCCTCCCGCTGGTCATCGGCTGACTCAAAATCAAACCAACTGCCACGGAAAAACAGGTAACTCAAATAGCTGCTTCATGGGCAAAGATAGGTTTTAGTTGTAAGAGAATAAATAGAGGCAGAACTTTCTGAGCACGTTTCACAAATGGCAATTATCCAAAGTGCAAAGGATGTGACATGAGCTCTGGGAAGCAGAGCGGTCACCAAGTTCTCTCTTCTTTTTGTTTTACATACCTGCTCACTAGACTTGCCACAGGTAAGCTAAATAACTTGTCTGTAAGAAGCTGAAGAATTCTGTAAGACAAATCTCTACTCAAAAGTAGCCTGAACTATGGAAAAGCTTAATACTCCCTTTTGGGCCTTCTTTAGGCTTTAATGAAGACAAAAGAGGTCATGAAACTCATTTCTTTCCAGGACATTCTTAAGAACCTGCCCCTATTCATCCACAGAAATGGCTTATCAACATTTTCCTGCTGATTGCTTGAATTTAGTATGTGCAAGTTAACGAAGCCTGCTTTGCAAAGTTTAGAATGACTTCATTACTTTTATCTGTGTTTTGATTCCTAACATGAAAGCAACATGTATTTCTTAAGACTTAACTCAGAAAACGTGGTTTGAAGGAAGAAAATCTGAACAGTACTTGCTAAGCTTGCATTCTCCCCTAATTATTGTTGGCAATTGCTTTAGATAAACACCAAGTCAAAAACACTTTATGGCTTTCCTTCCCTCTTTGAAATCCATTAGGTTTTTGATGTGTGGCCAACACCTTTCTGATATCCCAATAGGTTGGTTTTACTACCAGCCCTCCTGCCACTGCTATTAGAACCTCCTCCTCTCTGAAAGTTCACCAAGGGAAAATTTGCAGTTTAGCTTCTGGAGGTGACACAAGTGTAAAGTTATTTTAACTTCTTAAATTGGAATGGTTATATTTACTGCACCTCTAGGCTGAATGTAAGATTGTGTCCTGAAATGGATTTATGCTAAGCCCAGCCTTCATGGTCTCATGCCAAAAGCACTTTCAAAGCTGCTCACTACTCACTGTTTGATACTCATTGCTTTCTAATAGTACTGAAGCTTGACACTCTGGATGAGTTCATCCTTTGGCTTGTAATGTTCCTGGCATCAGATTCAACTTCTTAAAGTAACTAAAGCTCCTGTAACTTTAGTTTCACTATAGCCTTACTGGCTCAACTGAACTCTGTTGTTGCTCAGCATTTATACTCTTACTCTACTTTTACTCATGACATCCAGTGCAGTCAGCGAATTGCCCTCCTTGCACTCAAGGCCCATGCTAGCTCTACAGCCATATGAAACTGTTGCTTTGACCCAGGGTTCCATCAAATTTGTTTAAGCACCGTAGCCAAGTGTTTTTTGGGGAGAAGTAAGGCTTGCCAAACCGTGCTGTAGATCAGTCCTCTCCTGGCCAGGTTTGTGGCACAGGTTTATAACACAACCCTCAGGCAGGAAGGAGAAGGCTCTCCCAGAGTATAGTGAAAAAATCACTATAACACAAATACTTCAGACATGTTTTAAGCTTACCACAGTAAGTTCTGTGTATAAACTACATATATAAAAGACTTAGCAATGAGTTTGTCATCAGGAAATGTTGAAAGCCAGATATGCTTGGTCTCACAAACTTACATTTGATGGACTATGTTTAGATTTGGTTTACACATTAAGGTTGATTCCAGATTCTGCAAATAAGCTTTGAATAACAGTCCAAGTGTCTACGAAGACATTTTTCCATTGACTCCCCCCAAAATAAAAACTTTAATGATAAAAATAACCTTCTGTAAAAGTACTTAAATATACACAATTTAAACTCCATCTGAAAAAGAAACCTTTCACTGCAATGTAAAGTGTCAGTAGAATAATCTCAGGTACCTCGTTAAGCTTTTAGAGCAGGCAAATAGGAACTTGTGTCACCATAACAACACACCCATGAGTTAAAATTCAGCCACCTTTCAATTGCTACTGCTCTGGAGGCAACACTGTACGAATTCAGGAATGTATTCCCTTTACTCGTGATTTAAATCTGAACAGAATAGATTTAAGAGAATTTAACGGGAAATAAAAGCAGACTGGGCTTCAGCATTGTTTAAAGATAGAAATTACCCTCCCAAAATTAAAACTTCAAATATCTGCTCCTGCTGATTGGCACGGGATAAAATTTGCTTTATATTTAACAAGATGCCAACTGAATTCTAACAGGCCTTCTCTGCATGACTGATGCTGGGATACAGGAGGAATCCCAATTCAAAATAAGATCATATGCCATATTAAACAGAATTACTTGTTCAAAACAAGAAAAACAGTTCTATCAAAAAGAGTTATTTCCATGCTTTTAATAAGTAAATTCCAGTTAGTGATTTCCATTTCTGGAAAGACCCAGACTCATCAGGTGGTGGAACAATTGTGAAATAAAAGGGTGGCTTTAATCATTACTGGATACAGTGTTGTTACCATCAAAAACCCAAAACGGCCTTATTTTTACCTTCTCACACTTTCTCATTTTATACCCCCCGAGTCTCCCACTAGCCTGTGCTTCACCTCACGAACAGCTGGTGCATTGATACAACTCTCAAAGATACAATCCTAGAAACCCAGACTGGTTTGGGTTGAAGGGACCTTAAGAGCTCACCCAGTTCCAAACCCCTGCCACAGGCAGGGACACCTTCCACTAGAGCAGCTTGCTCCAAGCCCCTGTGTCCAACCTGGCCTTGAACACTGCCAGGGATGGGGCAGCCACAGCTTCTCTGGGCACCCTGTGCCAGTGCCTCAGCACCCTCACACAGAAGAGCTCCTTCCTTGTATCTAATCTAACATCACAGGTTTGAAGACAAAATTCCTTTTCCAAGTTCATAACTGTTGGATGCGGGACTTTGCCTTTTGTGCAGATTATCCTCTCATGGAGCTGTTGATTAACTGTAGCCTTCCGAAG